TTTTTTTTTGTCACGTTAAGACATAGTGGGTTAACTAACCCAGTGCCTCCTACGATATGTTTCCCAGGTGACGCACGTTTCGTCCATTTTTCCACTAACACTTGGCACAACACGAACCACAATATAACATGTAATAAATAGATTTTCTTTTGCCTTTCAAAATAATAGTACATGAAAAGTCGTGGAGATTAAGTCGTGTTTGACCCTCATTTTTTAAGGAAATTTTTCGAATAGTGATTTTTTGAAAAATTTGTGATTAAGAAATAAGGAAGAATTTTATATTTACATGTAAAATTATTTTATAGGAGATATGTGGTTAAAATGAGTTTTGGAAAATTAAGGGTGTGTTCCCTTTGTCGTTTTGGAGCCGTTTTCCATTTTTAGTTTTCGAAAACGTCGAAAACGCGTTTGGTTTTCCATTTTCAAAAACGTGTTTTCGGCAAAAAAAAAAAAAAAAATTACTGAAGAAAACGGAAAACGTGAAAATGACGTTTTGGGCGTTTTCTTTCCAAAAGGCGGAAATTGTGGAAAACGCGGAAAATGGACACTCTTTCTGGCTGAACACATTTCCCCGCTTCCTCTCTCCCGAGCCTCCTCAACTGTCGAAATCACCACCTTCCAGCGACGAAACCACCTGCTTCAACCACTAGAAGCCTCGCCTCATTCCCCTCTACAATACCCAACCAACCATCAGCCACAAAATCAACCGGAGGCAGTAGAAAATCCAGCCAAAAACACAAATGTCGCACACACTTTTCTGTCGGAAAACTCCCATTCCGGCGACGTCCACGGTCGCGCACCACCAACAGTCGATAGCCCTCATCCAGGCGAACAATATCATATCCTAACATCAACCAATAATACACCAATTCGTTGAGATGTGAATCTACTCAAATACGGTAGTAGCGAAAACGAAGCAGCGATATCGATTCATGTTTCTGGCCAATTTGAATCAGTCGATTGGCATCAGTTGAGGGTGAATCATGTCCCTACAACCATGGGTAACACTTCAATTTCATCAATTCATGCAGAAATCGTCACCGAAATGGGAGTTTTCGGCCTCGCGACTTGTTGATTTTGAGCAGAAATTTCGGCCTGTTCGACCGGAGTTAGGGCCAACTGTTGGGTGGGATTTATAGATAGCATTGCAGGCTTCAAGGTGGTACTATGATCCAGTGACCATGGTGGCCGGAAAGTGGGAGATGATGCTTCATAGGTGACGGTATTAAGAGAGTGTGTGTGAAAATGTTTTCTAAATTTTGTAAACCAAACACATTTTCTTATTTTTTGTTTTGAAAAATAGTTTTTCAAAATGACAAACCAAACGTATTTTCAACAATTTGAAAACAAACACTCAAAACACAAAACTCAAAATGAAATTGAAAACAGAAAATAGAAAACAGAAACGCAAAGCGAACACCCCCTAAGTTTTTTGAATAAATGGAGTCCAAACATTATCTAATTCTCAAACTCTTATTAAACTGTTATTTTTTTAGTCAAATGTTTGCATTAAGTTTAAAAACTAATGTAAAAAAATGAAAGAGAACCGAAAGTTTCCAAGATGGTACTATCTCGTGTTTCTCATGACAGTCTTCAAACTGTTTGAATTTTCTAGGTTGTGTTTAACAAGTAACGTTCTTGGATTAAGCAATAAATACAATGAATCTTCTGTCGTATTCTTCTGAGCACATTCGTAACCACACAAACATGATCACTCTCACTATCAAAGGCCCCTCATTCAGCGTAAACCATGTTTGTGCAGTTTAGCACAAAAAATTGTACACTTTCTTGTTCTCAAACGTGTTACTTGTGTGGTTCCAAAAGAGTGTCAAAAGTATTCATGTTGTCAGACTTTTATTTTGGTTGATAGTAAAGAAAAAAAGATGATTGGTTCCGTTCACTTAGTGAGTTCTTTGTTTTCCTTCGTTCGTTGTAGATATGCAATTCTTGGTTTCTAAGTGGTCCAAGTGAGGGGCTTTCTCGTAGTGCAAAGAGATTGGACAAGTTGATTGAGGGTTTGATTTTGAGTGACATGAGGGCAAAATCTTGATAAATTCATATTAAACTCTTGAAACTTAAACAAAATCATTTTGAAAAATTGGGTTAAAAATTGAAATACGGACGAGTTCGAACGCTAACGGTCCACATAGGGCCAAGCCAACTTTTCCAAGACTATGCTATATAGATATATTATGGGTTTGTGCACATACCTACGAATTCATATGTTTCCAATGTCATAAGTAAAATACATTTCATGATTTTCCCTAGTATTTTAAATGCTTAAAATTAAAGCCATTTTATACACTATGATTATGAACCGAAAATCAGTGCATTAAATGCAAAATTAATTCAACAGACGGGCGGGTCCACCCCCGAATTAATATCCGACAGAGACTTCATATTCCTCTTCTTTTATGATTCCATCTTTAGCCTTGATTTAGAGGTTGAATACACTGAATTGCTCTAATTTTAAAAAAACGCACATGTCCATTTTCGATATTTCCATGGACTCCCACTAGTTGTTAGGTGAATACCAGAAATTTGTGTTTATAATGGGAAATATTGTTGCAAGATGAGACCCAACCACAAAGCCAAAAAACGAATTTTTTTGCACGTACCATCTCTATATATAAAAGATTTCCTAGGTAAAAAGTTAGTGTACAAGAATCTGATTGAAATTGAGTAAACTTGTTCAATTTGTTTACATTAATCAATATATTTCGCGTATTTATTTATCAAAAAATTACTTCAAACACTAGGGAAAAAATTTAGTGTACAAGAATCTGCCCTAGTATTGCTTCAATCAATCTGTTTAGAATTATTTGAGCGATTACATGGGTGGCGAAAGCGTTGTTATGTTGTCGGGAAAAGATTTTGCCGTCGAATATGCAAAAGAAGTTTACATTGATGATGCTATAGAGGCAATGTTACTACCAAACACAACCTATAAATTTACCTTATCTCTTATATAGGCCTAATAGTGGAGGGCTTAGAAGGTATCAAGAAAATACCGACTTAATAGGTTGTGAGCAACAACTTTGTAAATCGATGTTCAATGAATTTGCAGGAATCAAGAAGAGCCACATGTATTAGTGGCTAACATGGGCACAATGATATTTTTTTTTTTCAATTATTTGTAGATGAGAGTGGCATTTTTAACTTCTTTCTATTGTTCTCTTTTCACAGGTCCTGTATAGCAGTAGGGGTGGAGATGGAAGTGATGGTGGTGGTTTATGATTTGGAGTGGATGTGATGGTAATGATTGTGAATTTGGGGTGCAAGTGGGGGTTATAGAATTGAGGTACCGATGGCGATTTGGGTGGTGCTGAAGGTGGTAAAGTGGGATAAGGTGAAATGAAAAGTGATTGTGATCAGTTAATTTAATAATTTGTGACGTATAAAAATGTGTAATTTATGATTAAATGCATAACTGTGCCCACAAATTGTCTTTATAACCATAACTTTGTGTGAATTTTATCTAGTATGTGACCGTGACCATGATTATTTAATTAAATTATAGGTCACCAAATTTTATCAAAGGCCATAAAATGTGATCACTTGATTTTTGAATTTTTTTTTCTCAAATTTCTTATTTTTGAATTTGTGTTTTGAAACATTTACAGTTGTGCATTCTCCCTTTATTTATTTGTTTTTTTAGCTATCATGGGACCATTGGGTTTCATGGGTTCTTTTAAGGATTCTTTTTTTCCCCTTCCTTCTGTGATTGGGTCATTTGGGCCTTTCTTTTCTTGGACTTATTTGGTTTTTCTTGAAACTTTTGATTGTAGCATGTACATGTTTGAGAATGGTGTCGAAGTCGAGATTTTCACGCAGAGGCAGGGTTGAGCTACACTCGGGCAAGAGGGGGGCAATGGCTCCCAAAACGTTTTGATTTATTCTTTATTTTTTTCCAACTTTAAAGAAATAAAACTTAAAATAAAAGGAAACAAAATTATTACACTTACCAAAGGACATTGGATTTTGCTACATGTATTTCAGAATTTACACTTTGGTGTACATAATGTCTAAATGATATTTTATCGTTGGCTGGTGAAAAAATGACCAGCCAATGATGAAATGCCACTTGGACGCAATTTTTTTACCAACCAATAATGAAAATAAAATCAAGAACATTTACACTTCTTTAGGTTCATCTTGAATGCCATTGGGCCATTTTTTTGTTTAATCATTAATATTGGCCCATTTGACACAATTATTAGGAGCGCGCTGAGCTAATAACCCATCGTGCGAGCCTCCCACTGGGAGAATTAGTACATGGCAAAAAAGAGTACTCTTAGTCAGTCGTAAACCCAATATCCATTCAACAAATATGACATCTCTCTTAGAGTTTCTCCCTACGTACACTCAAAGATAGATTGTAAAAAATCCAAGCCCATTGCTCTATATATCTTTTATAAAGTGATGAGTAATTAAATGTTTGATAATAGATAACATATTGATGAAATATTTTTATCCTTTTAGAATTTGGGTAATAATTTTTTATTTTTTTTTTCTCTGTGTAGCATGTTTGTCCAAATGATTCATTCTTTGCTTTCAATAAAAACAAATTAATTCGACCTTGTAAGTAATATCCAACGATTTTTCGCAAATAGATCTCTTGGTACTTGTTGATCAACTTGAAACATGTATTGATTTCCTCATTGAAAGAGATTTTAGAGAATTACGAGGTTCTAGTGATCTTGCACAAAAGTTGATTGTGAAGAAAAAATAAAGTGTATCCATTAATATATTGGTTTGTAATATTGGCATCAATTCTTCCATTTACTACTGCTACAATAAAGATTATTTTCTTAAACGAACCTTGTCAAGACTCGGATGTGCAATCATATTGGAGATATGTATAACTCGAGAAAATTTTTAAAATATAGAGCGGTTGCCCCTGTGCACTTCCGCCCTTTTTGAGTGTTTAGCCTACATGGAGGGGAGGTAAGGCAAGCAAGCAACGTATCGCTTGGATACAAATTGAAAAAGTAGGTTCCTTTCACATTGTTAAGCATATTTCATATAGTACTAAGTTATACCAACGGACCGTGTCATGTGTCTCCCAGTCGTGTGTGTGGGGAAGTGAAGGGGACTACGAAGGATATGGTTGAAGCAAAATCTTAAATTATTTAATTTGCTTTATTGCGATAACATATCGAGTTTGAAAGGTATTAGAAATTATAATTGTAATTTAAGTTCTTCCAAACAGTAATTTAGCCTTTTTATTTGTTTTTAGGTTTTTTTGGGTTTTTAGGTTTTACACTTGTCCTAGAAACAGATTAAGATCACTTCATATAGACTATCACAATCCATGTTATACAAAAAAATTATAAATCTCTAGCAAATAATGAAAGAAACCCAAATCTAAAATTAAAACATCGAACCTTTCTACGTGTGAAATTGTATGATTGATGGTTCGAATCAACGTTAATGATCTTCAAAGAGTCTTTTCAAGTAGAATTTCTACTTTAACAACGTTGGTTATCAGAGATCAATGATCCTTCTATGTTTTCCATGCAAAGCATACATGAAAATTTAAGAGAAATATAAGATCCAAAAACTAATATACTTGAAATTATTTCATCATTGATTAATATCTTTTCATCATGGAAATAGAAGTTCTACACAGCAACACGAAATTAATAATATTCTGAAATATGGCATACTGGACTCAACGTAGCCACCATGCACAGCGATCCCTGGATGTGGTGGCGCTGAAGTTGATAATAATAATTTCCTGGTGAAGCTCCTCCACAGATGGCGCCAGTCTTAGATTATTCCGGCAGATGGGACATGTGACGCGACCATAGCCAAGCCACCTATCCAAACAAACTCTATGAAATAAATGGTCACATCTCAGTTCTCTGATTTCATCTCCTTCTTCAAACCTGCATAAACAAACAGCACATTCTATTGAATATTCGGCCTGATCTGCATTGTTTTGATAGTGCGTCACGGTATGATCATCAAAATATTCCGGTAATTTGATACCGTAACTATAAGGGTGAAAGAAGGATTGGTAAAGAAGGTAATCCCATGCCCACTTCACCTGTGTAACAACCAGAACTATAAAGGTTAACACAACTGACTGAGGCACTATGATCTGAATCATTTTCTTGGATTGTCTTTGACTCAGAATCTATATATTCTACAAGGGAATGGATGTATATGTAGCCCTACAAACACGACGAAATTAAGTTAATTATTTTGACTGCAAAGTAAAATATTATTATCAAAACAAGTGACTTTGTTGACTTAAATGTAGGGAAAAATTAGGGCGGCGGACTAGAAAATTGAGGCAACTAGATGAAAGTTTGTTTTGATTTGTTTGGTTATTGGACTAAATTCGAATATTTACTTTGAACTTGTTTTTCTATATTGCGACAGATAATACCTGGCCTACTCATATTTATTTACTAGGGTTAATATTAAGATAACTCATGACCTATGTTTAACAAAGCATTCAAAGTACGCAAGCATACTTAATTGGGAAAATATATACAATTTACTGCTATACTTAACGCGGCAAATTTAGTCTCTCTTTTGTTTTTACTCCTACGACATGTTAAGTAAATTTGACTAAAAAATATTAAATAAAATAACTGATAAATCATATCACATGCATTTCCTTCTTAAACATGTTCGGATTAGGACGCACAGATTAAAAACTTCATAAAACTCTCCTAATTTTTAACAAAATCCGGAAATCTTGAGAAAAAATTACCAAAGTATTTGAAAACTTGGATTATGAATTGGACATTATTATGGACCTTTCATGGGTATCAATTTATAAGAAGTAACTCAATTCCAGGTTTCAACTTCAAACAAATAACTTACAAAGTTTCAAACTTTAAATCTATACTACAGTAACCAAATAAATAATTACTGTCAATAAAAAAATAATAATTTGAGTTGTATAAATATAAATTGGAACAACGTTTCCGCAACATTTAATGTTCTGATTTTATTAGAAATATTGCCCTTGTTTGAGTTTCATTCTTTTGGATAAATTCATTTTTCAACAGTGTTTTGACATCATTTCAACCACACATTATTCAATAAAATAATATTACACGTAAATCCAAAAATTTTCTTTATTTTTTAACCACACATTTCCCATCAATACACTATTTAAAAATTCATTCTACCCCAAAAAATGGGGCTCAAACAAGGTTTACCAAAGTATTTGAAAACTTGGATTATGAATTGTACATTATGATGGACTTTTCATGGGTATCAATTTATAAGAAGTAACTCAATTCCAGGTTTCAACTTCCAACAAATAACTTACAGAGTTTCAAACTTTAATTCTATACTACAGTAACCAAGTAAATAATCAGTGTCAATAAAAAAATAATAATTTGAGTTGTATAAATATAAATTGGAACAACGTTTCCGCAACATTTAATGTTCTGATTTTATTAGAAATATTGCCCTTGTTTGAGTCTCATTCTTTTGGATAAATTCATTTTTCAACAGTGTTTTGACATCATTTCAACCACACATTATTCAATAAATAATATTACACGTAAATCCAAAAAATTTCTTTATTTTTTAACCACACATTTCCCATCAATACACTATTTAAAAATTCATTCTACCCCAAAAAATGGGGCTCAAACAAGGGCAATGTTTTAAATTGGTGTCGTATCGTGTCATGTCATGTTTCACTTTTTCGTTATCATTTACATACTATTAAGTAGTTTGTCTGATTTAACAATTTTAAATAACGTTTAAAATGTAATTGTCATAGGTCGTCGGACCAAAAATTGGATGGATCATTGTTTTGAGACAAAAATAAGCAGCAGTCTTGTGCCGTTACTGGAAAAAATATTTGATCTGATTGAATTAAAACTTGGAATTGAACTGCATTCATTTGGAAGAGGATTAATATTTTTGAGGTGGTCCGCCTCATTAATATTAAATTATTTTCCGAAAAGAATGCCCTATTACAAGACAATTACAGCAAATCTTCTCAACTAGGGAAATACCAATTTTATGTTATTTGTTTCTCAGTATTATTTTTATTTTATTTTATAATAACGAATTTCATAATCAATTACTGCAATAATCAAAATATGTGGTACCTTATGTGGCATAATTTTAACAGGGTAACACAAAAGAATAACTTTTAATAATGCTATGCCACGTAATATACCACATATGATGATTATTGCAATCGTTGACTATAAATAACACTACTTTTTTATTTTATTATTACACTGACATCTTTTTTTTCCCCTTTACTATCCTATCACATAGTAAGTCCAAGTTCAGCTCAGCTTAAAAATTAGAATAAAATTTAAGTCAAAATTAATAATTAATTTTAACCACATTTTATAAGATCAAAAACTTTCCAATAACATATTTCATCAATTTAAATAAAAGTCTGATTTTTTTATCTAAATCAAACAAGAGCTAAGTTCAATGCGGACTTTATGACGTGCTAAATGTTGATTGTGTACAAAATTCAAATTAAAAGTGGAGAGTATGAATTGATCGTACAATCTTAGATCGAGATAAAGTTGTTGAGCTCAAACATAATCAAGTTCCTAACATCGCTTCCAACAACAAAGATGCACAATGTCAAGCTCGAATGTCTAACCTTCGTAGAATATAGTCTCCGACCGAATAAAAATTCCATTAACATTGAACGTGTCAAATACTTTTTTGATTACCATGGTGACAAATTATAATTAGAAGTTAGAACAAGCCCATAATCTCTCCCTGTTAAGACAAGATTCATAAAGGCAAATGTCACACACTGTTTAATTGGACCGGCCAGCCATAAAATAAATCGTCAAAAGAAATTACCAAAAAAAAAAAAAAATAAAAATAATAATAATAATAAAAAATAAAAAATTCTAATCAGGTTGATTGGAAGATGTGGGTCCAAGTCTAAAATGATAACAGTCACCACTTTATTTGAATGTTGAATTCATAGTATAGGAAACATACGACTTAAGTAGAATGAAAGTAGTTGTCAAAATTGATGTCTTTTTAAGAAAACGTTCCAAGTTAGAGACTCATGCTCAAAATTGATTCTTCAAGGCAAGATCAGTAAGAACATATAAAGCTCTAAGTGAAATTATTTCTTTATTAAAAGAAGAAAAAAGAAAAAAAGCATTCCTACTGAACTTTTTAATTTATTTATATATTTCTTTGTAGAGATATTATAATGATTTTTGAAACTAATGTCGATCTCATGGTCGACTTTGATGATCAGAGAGATGGTGTACTTTAGGAAAAGATTATTGGATATGCAAAAAGTAATATCGGGAAGATGTCTCATACTTTCTCGTACTTAATGATATGATTTTTATTTTATTTTCTTTTTAAAAAAAGAGCTGATAAGGCTACTAAGAAGTAGAATTCCAAAAATTTATGATATTTCTATTTAATAATATAATATTACTGAAATATAATTATTAGCCAATTTGACTTTCAATTTATATTTCAGAACATTATTATATTAATTTATAAATTCATTATTTTGAAAATGTAATACTTTTTTAAATAAGTTGAATTTAATTATGTTATCCTTAATTAGAACTATAAATTAACGTAGCAATCTTTATTTTGATGTCATTTACGTTATTTAAATAATAAATTTGAGAATATTTGAAATTTATGATAGTTTGATAAATTAGCAAACCATCAAATTTATTCCACTGTATTATTTCTATTTAAAAAGTTTCGGCTAAAATGTTTATAACGTTAGCAGGAATTTTAGACGTTTGATGTTTGAATTATCCAAAAAATATAGCCTACGCATTGAATTTAATGAATAAATCAATAATTTCTTAATGTATTAAATTATTTTATGGTCAAATTAATACTTCTCTAAATAAGTTGCGCATATATCTTTAATACGTAAGTTTAAAATAACACTTTTAGGTTGAAATAACCTATTCTCACAACATTTGAAGCTTCTTCGGAATTGCTGTCGACGTTGATTAATTAATGGATGATCAGTTCAATTATTTGGAATAATTGCTTTTCTTTTGACTATCATTTTGTCTTGCACGAAAATTGTTGGTGAAATAAATTAATTATAAGAGGACAAAGGCGGCAATGTATACTATAGTAATAATAATAATAATAATAATAATAATAATAATAATAATAATAAATAAAATTGCGTTTCCTTCGTCTAAAAAATAGGCTCAATTATAACTTCATAGTATTTCAACTCAAAATTATGTAGAGCTATTTCATGTGTGATGTATATTTTTTATAAACCATTATAGATTAATATCTTTATCCAGATGAAAAAACAAAATTTATTTGCATTTGGTTTTGCATAAACAAACTGTTTACGAGTTAACATAGCCAATCATTTAATGCACCAATTGAGAGATACTTGGCATGATTAATCATGTTAGAGGAGTTATAACTCAGTCCGTGAAACATGAATGAATTTACTTGTGGAGTAGAAAGTACACTTTCATCCTAATCTCATCTTCTGAAAAGGGGGTCGGGCCTAGCTCGTTGTCTTTGGTTTGGGACACATAGGCTATTGTACTATAGATGTATCATTAAAAACTTTTTGAAGTGCGGAATCCCAAACACCATTCAAAGCAAAGCTTTGAGATCACACTAAAAATAAGTTCGAGTTTTAGGATCATTTCTAAGTTTGTATTTTCTCACCGTTGGAGATAAAATTTAAATGACTTTCGTCCAATCTGGTAGAGGCGACCACCACTGTACTGGAAACATTTTGGGCCCTTTAGATGCTTTTCCAGGTTCAGAGCATGTTTGACGGTAATGTAAGGCTTAATTTTTTCCATTCACTAGTTAGAACTTGGAAATATGTAAGTTTTAACCAGAATGCAAGGTTAGCTATTATTTAAAAAAAAAAAAAAAACAAAGTAAGGCTTAATTTTTTCCGTTCACTAAAGTTAGACCTTGGATTATGTATGTTAGTTTTGACAAGAATGTAAGGGTTTCTATTATTTAAAAAAAAAATTAATTTATCTAAATTTTGGATACAAAAATTACTTAAATTAACTTTGCTTTTCACGCTTATCGTGTTTCTAAGTAAAAAGAATAAAGCCACTTGTACATCGATCCTTATAGCTTGGTGTATACTCCCATCACATGAGGGGCAGG